ATGCATGCCCATCTTTACCTGTTGCCCATCAAACTATTAAGAAAACTCGTCGCGGATTTGACTAAGCTTAAAACATCTAAAATATAACTTTTTTGAAGAGAGTATCTCCATGTACTCCACAAAAAATTTAATTTAAGTAATTTTTAACATTACCATGTTCCTCCCAATTAGTAGAGCTATGGATGACCCTGTGGAATGTCCTGCTAACCAGGCATTTCCAGGGCCATTTGCTTTATGAACAGTGTTTCTAACAGCTTCCATGCCAGCTTGAAAACGCGGACTTTTTTCGAGATTGTTGACAATAAACTGAAGATTCAGCTTATAATCTTGAGTCCTGTTTCCCGATTTGTTGGTCGTGCCACGGAAGGCGATCACGTATCGTGGGGGGCCTTGGCCTATGTGGTTGGGATAAGGGTAGGGGAACCTGAACTCATAAATGGCTCCAAAATATGATTTGTCATCATCATCTACTAGCACTTGGGTTAGTCCAAAATTGAAAAATTCCCACCAAGCAGGAGCAAGAGCTTGAGGGCCTTGTCGATTTTGCTTGCGATCACATTCGAGTGTGTATACACCCTGAACCAAGCTGGCTGCAATGGACTTGCGATGATGCGAGTTATTCCTATCAAAGGTCCGAAAAGAGCACAAAAATTTCATAATGAAACAAAGATTTTCTTTCTTTTACAGTTGTGAAATCTCGAAGTAAGACTCTCCTTAGGGTAACCCGGGCCTCTCTCTTTTTATACATATATATAAAGAATGTGCCTAGAGCTCAACGTCAGCTGACCCAGAAAACGAGTCTTTCAAGTTTCAGTGACCACTTCTCCTTCGTCTTCTCTATTAGATTATCCAATTTAGTTTTCTTTACATGAACAATCTTATTCATATTTTACACGCACATAATAATTTTCTTGAATAGTTGAAAACAAGACTTGAATTTCAAGATCTTCGATCGGCAAACTAATTAAGCAACACAAACAAAAAAGAAGGCGTACCAATCAATAGGAGTAAGATACGAAGGTCCAAAAAGGTTGAAATTTTCCCTCTCGGAGGCCATTGATGTCTCAATAATTTCCTATACATACAAATATCAAAGTATGCAAATGACATTAATTCAAAAGATCGAGTAACATATATATATATATATATATATATATATATATATATATAGCTTAAAAGCTTCTAAAATGCAGTTTTTTCGATAGCATTAACAAACAAAAAAACAAGAGTTTTAAGTTCGATTAAACGTGCAAATAAGAAAATTTACCTCAAATATCTCTGCGATATAGGCTAGCTTGTGAATGCTATTCAACTCAACTCTTTATCTTGTGTATATATATTTGGAGATATAGACAGAGAGGGAGAGAGATAAGAGGGTTGACTTTAGCACAAACTAGAAACAAGTCGTCGCAATAATTTCTTATTTCAATCCAATGGAATATTATATGGTAAAAGTCAATAGATGTTAATTAATTCCTTAACATGAAAAATAATGAAACTTGCACTTGCACTAAATCATGATTTACATCTTGAAAGAATAAACATGAGCAACTTTTTGTATAAAATGAAATAATTGTTAATATCATAATATCTAATTATTGACATTTTATGTGTTGAGAAGTGCACAAGAAACAAATATAATAAATTGCGATGAAATTGGCAGGAAAATTGAAAATTGAAAATTGAACATTATTCTTTTTTTAGACGACTACAATTTTTCGTCACTTCACTCAATTCGTCAAAACGTGTATATGCATATTTCAATCGTTTGCATGAGAGTAACACAACCATACATCTTCTTAACAAAGCTATGGTTGCTTTATTTGACTGATTCATTAGCCAATTGACATATTTTATTATGAAGATTTGTGTTAACACATAAATGTCAACTTATCATAGCTGTCAAGGAGAAGAAGGATGAATTGATATAATCGACAATAATATACACAAATGCATCCAAATCTAAATGGGAAATTTCTTGGCTCTTTCTCATTTAGTGGATACATTATTTTTAAATATTCCTAGCAACGGAAGTCCAAAATCCGCGTAATTGACTAGATGATAATGGAGTGGGGATTTCTTTTATTTTTATTTTTGCTTTTCATAAAAGAATTTTTGGAGGAAGCTACTTTAATTTTTGTTTAAAACCTAGTTCTTAAAAGCTTCTTTAACTATTAAGATTTGGGGGTTCCATCTTTAAAAGTTAATTTTATTAAAAAAAAAAAAAAGTAATTAAATCTCTTATATAATGATCTATATTTTTGTCTTTATTTGATGTGATATTTATTTCTTAACATGCTGATGCAAGGGGTGGATCATTTGAGCAAACCAATTCTAAAATTAGGGTCCTCTTTTTTTAATCTTAGTCGGATCAAATTGCTCGTTTGAGTTTAACGGGCTCTCTTTAATACCATATTAAGACTTGTGTTTCTATATTAAAAGTCAATATTATTAAGAAGTGTAGTTCAAGCCTTTATATATTGATATATATTTTAATCTTTATTCGATTTGAAATATATCCCTTAACACTAACTAGAAGAAGCATTTTCATAAAATTAATCAAATAAGTTCAAAAACTATTTTTGAATCTCAAAAACTCCTTTTGAATTTTCGAAAGATATGTCAAACAAACCTTAAGACTGGGACAAGGATGGGGATGGGAGTTGCTTGCAATTAAGAATAGAAACTTGTTATGGTTCTTTCTTTTTTGAGCCTTGACCTTATAATAAGATACGTATGTTGACAATTAAAATTCATAAAAGGATTACTAGTGAACCATTCTTGAAGTCACCCAAACCATGCGCTAGTTCATGGTAAAATAAGCAAGATCGAGCATTTTCAGTGTAAATAGCGAACAACTGTACTTAACTGATATCAACTCTTTCACATTAGTATAAATCGTTGAGCGAATCTAGGAAAAAGCACAACCTGGCCCGTCCCTAGATCTACCCCTGTGTCAAAGCACACGTGATTTTGAGTATAAAGCATGACTTGATAACCAATTAATGAGGAACACGTCAACAAGTGAACAAAATGTAAAAAAGCTAGCAGATTAAGTTATAAGCTTATTAATCAATAGCTGCCGTGTGTCTCAAACATAAAGAGACTTATTTACTCCCAAGATCTTGAGAGACATCTATAAATAGACGACGGATAATTGGTGTAAAACGTTCCTACCTTTCAGCTTCATTGTGGAAAACGTCTTCACCTCTCATTTTTTGGTATTTTTACCCTCAAATCAACCTTTCGTTGCGCTGAAGGTCCTTCCGTCCAAGTTCCATCCATTTTGCCGTTAATTAAAGAGAGAGAACCAATATTTGTCCAGTCAGCAGGGATAAAACCGTCTCACCCATTGAACCCCTTATTCCCGCCTTCTACATAGTCCATATATTAACAGTAGCTAGAAAATGGGTGTGAAAATACTTTAAATTATTACATTAAATAAGGGGAAAAATGTCGTTAATTAAAGAGCATATATAGTGGTGAAATCCGACCATCACTGCTGCTTTTATGTTGGGTTTCTGGAAAAGTGTAGTAAGATATATATTGAATGGTTGGTCAATTTATAGAGATGACTGCTTGATATTTATTTCTAGTTTATGCTTATTGTGACCACGGGATAAATTGAGGAGATCGAGTGGAAATTGGTGCTGTGAAGTATGTATCAGTTCAATGGTGAATAGCTCATTTTGGCTTATTGGTGAAGATGAACAGGTCCTGTACACTTCTTCTGGGAATCGAATGAATCTTGCGCTAATAATCCCTACGTAATTATAATTTTGGCTTAAAACAGCCCTACCTATAAAAAGTTTGGCGAGTAAAGTCCCTACCTTTTAGAAATATTTGCGAATAACGTCCCTATCTTTTAGAAATATTTGCGAATAACGTCCCTAACTTTTAGAAAAAATTTGGCGAGAGAATTCCCTGTTTTCTTCCATATACCACCTGTTGATACACACCAACTCAAAAGTCCCTAAATACACAATTCTATCACAGAATCTGAGATACAATTCATCCACCAATCAATCGAAAACTGAAACAAAAACATCTACTACTACTGAAGCAAAAATAACCGAAAACTGAAGCAAAAATAGATACAATTCATTTCAAATGTGCAAAACATCCACTGTGCAACCAACATAAGTCTTGAACTTGCTACATTCTCCCAGTACATAAACACCAAAAAAAGTTCCTAAAGTGCTATATTATATCCACTACATGGAGACAATTTGTGCACTAAATAACAAAAACAAAAGCCAAAAAATTAATAAGTGAACTTGGCAAACGCCAGACAGCTTCATCCTAACAAGGTGCTAGAGGTGGTGCCAATTTGCACCCTCTCCTATTGTGTCCTGCTTCACCGCACTTCAAACATGTCATTATTAGCCCCGATCTTTTTCGTTGACCTTCCGTTGTTCCTGATGTTGATTGTGAAGTATTGGCATTGCTCTTGGACTGCGTGGACCTCTTCGGCTGACTTGAAGAAGCCACCTCATTCAGCTCTTTTATTCTGTTTTTCTTTGGCCTCCTAGGCCTCTTCGTGTACACCGGTGGAGTGAGAAGGTTTAAACCTGGGGTAGACCATGCCTCCGGACCTATGATGGGAGATATTGATGGCATATATGTTCTCATGTATGCATCCTTCTTATAGATGTCATCCACGAACTCCAACACGTTCAGGCCTCTAGATACAACTGAGGCAATGACATGGCTACATGCAATTCCTGATAATTGCCAACCACGGCATGTACAAGTTCGTGCCCTTAAATCCACAGCATGTAGGACAATCTCTGCATTGTGGCGAACTTGGAACTTTTCATTGCCTGCGTACTCAGCCCACTCAAACCTTGCAAGTTTACCATTTTTGTCCAAAATCTTCTGAATTCTAGGTCCAACTGCTCTTGTCCACCCATCACAAGACTCTCTACGGGCCACAATTCTCCTCATCAAATATACCATTATATCCTTCAGCATGGTTAAGATCGACTTCTCTCTTGCAGACACAATTGTGCTATTAAATGATTCGCATATATTGTTCAGAAGCATGTCACACTGATTCCACTCTCTAAAGTGGGATTTACTCCAATGGGAAGCTAGTTTTTCTTCAAGCCATCCATAAGCAGCCGGGTCCAAGTCCATCATCCGTTGCATGCGCTGACGCCATTGCGATATAGTAGTGGCCCTGGCTGCATCCCACAAACAGTTCTTCAATGCTAAACCCTTGTGACAGACGCTGAAATTGTTGTATAGATGTCTGACACATGTCCTATACTCCGAATTCTCAAACAATGTCCCAATTGCATTTGTCAATCCCTTTTGCTTATCTGAAATGAATATCCAATGTTGACTGTTATGTCTGTGCAAATCATCCTTCAATAACTCCAAAAACCATTTCCAATTATCCCCATTTTCAACCTCCACAACTGCATATGCCACCGGATACATACCATTATTCGCATCAACACCAACTGCTGTCAACAATTGGCCACCAAGCTCTGTCTTCAAAAAGCAGCCATTTACCCCAATCACCCTTTTGCAACCTCGAATAAAACCATCTCTCAATGCCCCAATGCAAATATACAACCGTCGAAATTCTCCAGCGTGCCCCTCAACCAATGCAGTGTTCCCAATATTTGTCCTCTTTAACTCCTCACAATAATCCCACAGTAATTTGTAATGCTCCACCACACTCCCTCTAATTTTTTCAAGCCCCTTCTCCTTCGATCTATATGTCTGCCAGGCTGAGATATCACCTAAACCATCTCGCTTAGCCCTCTCCATGAATACAGTAACTGACATGTTTTGCTTAGCCCTCCAATTAGCTAAATATCTATCTGCCAAATAGGATGAGGTCACCCTGAAGTTCTTGTATACTATGGGACAAGTACACTCCTCCACAAAAGTTTTGATCACCCAACTTGCCTTACCAAGCTCTTTTGTAGCATACAACACCCATGGACAATCTCCCTTACACTTGGCTCTCAATCTACGGGCATCATCCTTTTTGAACTTAATCTCTCTATTGTTTGTAACTGAATGTGAGGTGATTGCAGCCTTTAGTACGCACTTCGACTCAAATATCATGCCTGAATAATAATAAAAAATTCAATGCATATCAGACCTCATGACACTAAAGTACATAAGCAAGTTTAAATTTGAAGTAACGAATAATGTTCAAGTTACCTATTTTGAACATTGGATCCTCCATATCTGCCCCCACTTTGAAAGCATCATTGGAAGCCCTCCTTCTTGAAGCTCTATTGTCTTCCTCTTCACTATGAATGCTTCGTAAACCATCGGAGTCCCCGTAGTCGATATCTGAATTTCTAATAAGCTGCTCATTCGACAT